TTAATAATTATCTATAATATTCTGTATAAAAATAACACATCCACTTATATATAAGTTTAAATCATGTGTTTAACCTGTCTTTGATTTGTGTTGGTTTTATTTTGAGGGAGGATGTCTACTCCCACCACAGCCCAAAGTCCTTTGAAACAAATATTTCCAATTAACCAGATGTTTATCCCCTAATAATTCTCTACTTACTTCAAACAATTCTTTATAAAACATATTTTCACTGTTTAAAATATTAGGATAAGCTGTTGGGCTTTATTACAACATAATTATAAACTATTTTGTTGGAATCAAAATACAAAGATTTATGCTTGTGTCATGAAGATATTCAGGACATCAGGGAGGAAAAATTGGCCCTCTTATTTCACTTTGCTTATTGAGAAGTATAGGTCTGAGCAAAGTCCATAATGAAAGAAGGGAAACTTCAATGTGAAAGCCTGGAAATGGAAGTTTGGCATGGAAAAAGGGCAAAGAGAAGCTTCTCATAGCTTTAGGTTATCAGTGGGTAAGTCTATTTTGGCCGTATTTTCAAAGACTACCAAGGAAGATGCAATGTTGTAGAAAGTGTAGGAAACTAAGGCCAAAGGTGTATATGAAGTAGGTACTATGGTGCTCATTTATGACCATGAAAGCAGCAGGTATAAGCAATTCATTTGAGAGAAATGGCTACAAATGGAATAAGAGAGAAGAAGTAGCTAGAGGGAAGCTTGGGGTGGAAGAAGACAACTAAAATGGAAGACCAGGTAGATGGTGGTGCCATTTCTGAATTTAGGGAACAGAGCCAAGTGTCGGGAGGGCTGTGAAAGAATCCACGTCAGCAAGGATATCACTGCATCTGTGGACAAAGGCTCATTGGATGGTGCACATGACATCTCTGTTCTCCCAGCATTCAGAAATTTGGTTAACCATGGAGACTGAGAATTCCCCCAGAATCCTTGGCAAATTGGAGGAGGCATTGGTCTTAGGGAAGAGCTACCAGACTTACTGCTAGTATGAGTAAGTTAGTGCCTAGAAATTAATTAAAAATAAAGCATCTAAGTCAGTGGAGCAAGAACAGACAAAGGGGAAGTAAATTAATTCTATTTTGATCACATTGAGTTTCGAATGCCTACTGAAAATCCAAGCAGGAGAGGGTTGTCAAGCAAGGACACAAAGAGCAGGACAGGGTTGCCCAGGTTCGTTCATTTAACAAAGATGTGTTAAGCACCCGTATCGTATACCAGGCACTAGCTTCATTACTAGAGATAGAAATATTGGGGGGGGTTGTATTTTTTAAATTGATATGTCATAGTTGTACATATTTTGGTGGTACATGTTATATTTTGATACATGTATACAAGGTGATCAAATCAGGATAATTGGGATATCCATCATCTCAAACATTTATGTTTTCTTTGTGTTGGAAACATAATTCTCTCCTAGCTATTTTGAAATGTATAGTAAATTGTTGTTAACTAAAATTTCCCTACTGTGCTATCAGATACTAGAACTTATTCCTTCTCTCTAACTTTATTTTAGTACCCATTAATCAACTTCTCCTTACTGCCCCCTGAATGTGTTTAAGAACTCTTCCTGCGGCTGAATGCTGAGGATGACGAGATCCCAAGCTCAGTGGGTCTGAAGCAGCTCTTGAGGCAGGTCTCTGTTGAAAGCATTGCTCCTATTTCCCACACCACAGCCGTTCACTTTGTTTCTCCTGGCTTTCATGTCGTCTGCCCTTTTAATGACCCTTTCTCTATCAATAAATAACTTCTCATTGCTACTTCCAGATGTCAGATAGAGTTGACTGGTTACAAAGCCAAAATGGAGTATGCAAAGTTGATGTCTATTCTCCTGGAGACAGCCAGCCGCAGGACTCGAGAATGGTAAGGATCATCCTCTTTTAAATACTAGGTTAGGAATATGTGGGGTGCCATGAATGCCTTATTCTCCCCATCACCACCACACACCTCTTACTTTAGAAGGTGGGATTCTTGGGGGGAAAATGAGCTCCTATAGAACAAAAAGTTCCCATCTATAGTTTTTTGGAAAGAAATGCCTGTCATATGATTTAGTAGAAGAAATACGTTATAACTAATGAAAATATATATA